TTTTTCTTTTGGCAAAGACATTCACTTCTCTGGATAGCGATCGCATTGTGCGGTCGGCCACACCTATTTCATTGTTATTCCACAGACCCCCCTCCCCCCGGATCCCCTTTAATTCATTGAAGCATTAACTTGTTGTTTTCTGCTTTGATTCTTCTGCGCAGTAGTTTGAACAGTATGATATGGGCGTGGCGCCCTTGTCAACAATGGGTGTATAAGAGGCGCGGACCTCCAATTTTATATATTTATTTCATTTGATAAGGCTGAACCAAGTGAACGCGGCCGAGAGTCTTGAATTACAACTCTCCAAGTAGCCAAATACAAGAATGCCCGGTTTGAGATTCGACTAGGGCACAGCGAACTGGACTAGGGTCATCCGTACCATAGCCCAGCATGACACCAGCACTGTGCTAACGGAAAGCAAAGGGTGTGTTAAAATGAGGCGCAATTGTTATAAATTAGTACATAGAACCGCTACAAATAAAAGGCAAACGCAATGCCCCCAATGATGCAGTGCATCGTAATTATGAACAATTACAATCATGCACTTCGATGTTTAGTTTGTGTACAATTATTCGAATGATAGGAATTGAACAGCCTTTCGAAAACAAAAGCTGGCTAAGAGACTGGGACTCCTAATTTAATTTGCATCACTATCGTGACTAGTTGGATCGAGACTGTGGGGAGTCAAGGGCTCCTTACACAAATTATGGGGGTTCAAGGCAGCTTGTTGAATTTATACGAACATGAGTCGTCACGTTTCTATCCAACATAATATCAGTTGATGGCACAGAGTGCTTGATTTACGTCTATTTATCTCTACCGCCTGTATTGTCTCTTTTTATTCTTTTGTTAAAATTTCTAGGGCACTTAAAACTTCGTCCTTTGAAATATTTTGTTGTTGTTTTAAGTTCTTTTGTTTGTTTGCTTGTCTGTTTAGATTTTTGAAGGGGGTTGGGGTGGTTAAACAGGCGTGGTATAATGAAGTCAAATGGAAACCTTGGGCTGTCTCATTCACAAAGACGACTTGTTTTCTGATGTGGACTCAAACTGGCCCTTTCCTCGTGTACGGCGGACGTCAAACAACAGGAAGTTGTCACTGTCGTTCATGTGGTGGTTGTATCCGCTTTCCGCTTGGCTTGTCTTCCATGTGTTTGATTAAATAGACTAATGTTGTCTTACTATTCATTGTCTACCTGGGCTTTGTCATCAGATCCTGGTTCAAATGTGTCTTTAACCTTTAATTGCATGATTTGAAATCTGTGAACGAATTAACATGCGCTATAATGTGGGTTTATCCAATCCGAGCTCACCATTAGATACTAGTTTAAGAATAAATAAAGGAGAGAAAAGTGTAGCGTATGTGGGAGGCGAAAAAATCGTTCCCCTTTCTTATTTTATATGTATAATTTCCGTATGTTTGATCAAGTTTGTAAACCGTCGCACCATATCTCTGTTCGAAAATAGTTAACAAATTCCTTTTCTGCAGATTATTGTAAAACATTTCGCGTGAATTATCTTCCTTCTTAATCTATGATCATTGGTGAATGCATCTATATATCTTTCTTATGCACGTGATCTGAACGTTTGGCATAGATCCATTCTTTACATAATTGAGCGTACTTCCGAGTCCATGCGATGTCCGATTTCTTAGTTTGATAGTCGTGGTTTACGAATCAGCTCATAGCAATATTATAGATTAGATCTATACTGCAGCAGCGCTTGCCAGCCTGAGAGATTTCTTCTTAACACTCAGTGAGACAAAATCCATACTCTGGGTTTTATAACCTATTATTCTATTCCAGGGGACCGTCCTACATCACGTGACGTGTCTTTCGCACTACCA